TGTCTGTGTGTCTGTGTGTCTGCGTGTCTGTCTGTGTGTCTGTCTGTCTGTGTGTCTGTGTGTCTGTCTGTTCAACTAGAAGGAGATGTGCTAGAGAATTGAAATTTTCACGGTATCTAAAGGTCCACTCCTAGAGAAGGAAACGCTTACGGCAAATCCTGGCAGCCACCCCTAAGGGTGTGAATGAGGGTATCCAAGGTTCAAAAATTCTCCGAAAAAGTATTGTTTGTTTTTATCTTGTCTTATCTAAGGCGTAACTCGTCCAAGCTGAGTTCCCCGGGCGAAAATTTCGTCCGTTTTGCTCTATCTCTAACCGTTTAGGCGCTAGAGGGTCTCTTTTGACGAAAATAAGCTAAAAATTGCCATAATGAACAACAAGTTGTAGAAAAATGCCTAAAAAGAGAAACCAGTTTCAGAAGTCCGTGTGCGTGCTCGTCAGCCACTGGCCCGAGCGCGGTGCAAAGCAGTACCTTCTTCAGGCCCCGGCGGCCTGAATGAGTGTTGCCAGCGGCTTGGCCCTCGGTATCGTCACTTTACACATGTCTTATTTGACGGCAAATAAAACCATTACGACCAAAAAACCTGGCAAATTCGACAAAAAAATAAAATTTTTAGAAACTCCCAAATGGCCCGTATTCTGAGAATCACTCGTAGATGTTGCCTAGTAGGCAGGCACACATGTCGTACGGCTCACCCGGACAGTCTCAGACTCTTCTGCGGCGAAGGCCGTCGGCGGGAGGATGTCGCTTCGGTCTTCGGGCGGACTGCCCCCAACTTCGGGCGCACAGCCCCCCGGCCGATGCCATCGGATGGCTTCGGGCGGGTCGCCCCTGTTCGGGCGGTACGCCACCAAGCACAGAAGCTCTCTCGTCGCCACCGTGAGGTGGAAAACCGGCGCTGGCAAGGGTACAGGGCGCGACGCGTACCGAGATGGATTGTGGAGACGCAGCCGAACGACCTTGGCATCCGCCGCCTCCTCCAGCGAGGTGAATGGCCAAGTCACCCCGAGGAGGAGCACCCCGCGGAGCTGGTCGACCAGCTGGCTCCCCATCAACCCGCCAGCACTAACAAGGGAACCTTTTTAGGTGTAAATCTCCGATTTCGTTGTAACTTGGAAAATTTGAAGGTTAGTTATGTAGAAATCGGATGGCGCTTGAAATTTTTCCTGAACCTCACATTTAGTTTTCCCCTATATAGGGGTAGGAGTGCGGTTTTTATGCATGGTTTTTGTGATATTTTTTCTTAAATGTAAGGCAGTGTTCTAAGGGGTAACTCATCAAAGTAGCGCCCTTTGGGCCAAAATTTTGTCCGTTTTGCTCTATTTTGTACCGTTAAGGCGGTAGAGGGATATTTGTGGCAAAAAGCAGTGTAAGGCTTAAGTAAACCCCTAGTAACTGTGAGGTTCAGGAAAAATTTCAAGTGCCATCCGACTTCTAGTACAATAACCTTTAAATTTTCTGAGTTTCAACGAAATCGGAGATTTACACCTGAAAAGGTCCCCTTGTAAGCGTCACAGTCCTGCACCCTTACCCTACTGAAGGTCTCGAAGCGATGGGATGAGGTGGGGGTGGCCGGCCTGGTGCACCGGCACACTCAGGCCAGCCCGCTGGAGGTGGCGCCGCCGCTGGTCTCCAGGAGGTGCAGCATGTTGTCGAGGACTGCGCTGCCCTCTCTGACCTGACTGATGCAGGGGCGCTTACCCGACGGGTCAACCGTCTCGACGTGCTCCGCGTTGATGGCGGCGGAGAGCGCGTCACCGTAGTTGGCGGGGCGACTAGGCCTCCCGCGCTAGGCGCAGAATCTCGGCACCGAAGTCGGGCAGCGACTCACCGGACTTCTGCACACGGCGGTCAAGCTCGGCCTCGGCGACGACCTGACACTGCGCTGGGTCGTAGTGCTCCCGGAGACGCTTGCAGAGCCGGTCGTAGTTGGTGTATCACGAAAAAAAAATTCGCTGTGCCAGCTAATGCATTGACTGGCATTTGGATAGATCACCTGATAAGTTTCTGGAAATACTATATGAGCTATTATAATCGATTATTGACTGTAGCAGTCGATTATTGACTCTGGGAAATAATATGCAGATTGTAGGAACATTGGTTCCTGGAGTCAGTAATGTTATCTGTCCAAATACCAGTCAATGTATTAGCTGGCACAGCGAATATTTTTTTTCCGTGAGTCGGTCGGTCGCGAGGCGGTAGGGTTTGGATGAGGCCCGCAGCACGGCCTTGCAGGGACTCCAGGGGGCGGCACCCACGCGGCTCGGGCGAGAGCGACTCGGTGGTGCTGTCGAACTGGGCAGCAAAGACGGTCCAGGACCGTGTCCCGTCAGGGGTCGGGATCCTGGCCCGTACATCACCTCCGCGCTGCTGGTCGAGGGACACCGTCGACAGCCGCTCCAGAGCAGTGGTGTTCCGCTCCTGCAGCTCGACTGAGGAGCGCGCCCAAGCCCGCAGGACCTCCCGGGTGTCCACGGCTTCCTGGCGGAGGCGGTCGCGGCTCTGGGTGCGGCTGCGGCGGCGCCGCGGCATGACGGAGGAGGTAGGCCAGGCGCAGGGGTCAGGAAGAGTTCAGGAAACGCCTTGCCAATCCCACTTCTGACGCCAATGTTAAGGGAATGGCGATTCGGGATGGCAAGGGTTTATTGCAGGGAGAGGGCAAGGTACAGGGGAACTGGAAGAGTGTGCTCAGGATGGCGGTCAGGACAAGAGTGCGTCGGGGCAGCCGGCGGCCAGGGTAACCAGGCAGCCGCTACAGTGCCAGGGGGAAGTGGCGCCGGGGGAGAGGGGAAGGGCTGGTCCAGAACCCCAACAGTTACGGGATTCCTAGCCTAGCAATCACCCTCCAGCAGCTGTCTCCGGCTTCTGGCGCCGAAGTGACGTCTTCATCAGTCATACTCTCAAGCGTCGACAGTTCAAGTCTTTGGCTGTATATCACTCAAACGTGTCAAAACTTAAAGGGCGTTGAGCACCTACTAACTTTCCGAAGATTCAAAAACACTGGGACACGTCCCAGTGCGCAATGAAATCTGTGGCAAATGGGAGGACTGTCGTAAGTTTTTTGGACTAAGTTTTCAGGAAACAGAGAAAACGTCTTCCGCATGATATCAAACTCAAAACAATTTAAAATGTAAGCGAAGACCTTCTGAATATATAGGCAATTGTCTAAATTCTTTTACCTTCTAGTAGTGACCTTCCACAACCAAAGTTGGGTTACGACAAAAAGATT